GCCGCGGGCGCTGGCTGTCGCGCGGCAGCGTTTCCGAGCAAAAGCGCTTTCACGAGGTTGTTGTTAAGCTTCTCAAGGTCCGAGTTGCAGCTGCGGATCTGCGCCTGCATCTTGCGCTTCATTTGGGCGTCGCCGCCCTTGGCCTCTTGGTCGAGGATGCGCAGATAGCGCTCGACCTCTTCGATGCGGTGGCGGGCATCGCGCTCGAGCTGGTCGCGCCGGGATGCGTTGGCGCTCGGCATCTCCTTGATGATGGCCATCGCCTCGGTCCGCAGCTCCTTGAACGTCTCATAGTACTCTTGGAACGACTCGGTCATGCTGCTGCACTGCTGCTCGCCGCTCGGAAGAAGTCAGAGTGCTGGCATGGCGCATGATGCCATTGGTTAAAAGGCGGGAGAACGAAGAGACTTTGACCAATCAAAACGCGAAATATATGGGAAAATCCAGCCGACTAAAAATTCACAAATATAATATACATCCTGGACTTGGCTCCATGGGCGCACAATATTGCTGCAACGCGGTACGGAGACGGACACTACTAGATGTACAGGTCGGAGAAGTCACTAGCTAACAGAGTCTTCTAATGTGATGAGGTTCCCAACCTGAAGGGTGTTGTCTCCGTTGCCATCTCTCTGGGCAAGATCCAAAGTACTATAGTATCTTTTTGAGAAAGCATTGTGGACATGGCGTCGGTCGACATCCATTTGAGTAAAGTATACTACTTGCAATGCGGAACTCAAAACTCAAGCTCAAAATCTCGGTCCATGCATCCCGCAATGAGCGCGGTGGCACACCACGTGCTATGGCAGTCGTAGCTCCTCTTACAACAAGACGATGGACATTAAAGGCATGTGTGCAGTGCTGCAATATTACGGTTAAAGGACACCCCACACGTTCTTCATTTTGTCTACAAACCAGTAGACAATCCCTCCCACGAGGAGAAAGATGAGGAGCCAGAGACAGAAAATCTTGACGTTGTTCTTGCGCTTGAGGCTCTTGAGGTGCAGCGCGGCTTCTTGCACGTCGACGCGCGTCGCGTGCACATTGACCTGGGCCCGGCGCAACTGGTCGCCCTGTGTCGCGAGATTCTCGCCGACCCGAATCGCGACGCCACGCGTCTCTTCGATCGTTGTGATGGCGTCGTTCAAGACGGCGCCGGTGCGGTCGAGTCGGTCCTGGACCGTCACGGTCGTCGTGCCCGTGCTCCGCTCGTGGGCAGCGCCGACCAAGAGCGCTTT